ATGTATGTATGTATGTATGTATGTATGTATGTATGTATGTATGTATGTATATATATATATATATATATATATATATATATATATATATATATATATATATATATATATATATATATATTCTTCCTATTTGGAATTTATTAATTTGGTCACAAATATATATATATATATATATATATATATATATATATATATTTGTGACCAATGCACTGAGAAGAAAAAGAGACACCCAGAAATTTATGTAAATCTACCCAAAGATATACAGTTGAAAAATTTTTACATTATTAAAATGTACTAATGTACTAAATTTTTTATCTCTTGTGCAAAATATATGACGTTTATATTCAAATTAATCACTATCTTATAAGAATTCCAGCAATGTAAATTATATTTTCCCTGGTCACTTCTGTGCCATTTTATAAACAAAAACAAAAACTCAATCTAAAGGACATAAATAAACAAATAAATACTTCACGAGACTTTCGGCGCCAACTGTCAAACATGTCATCTCCAGGGTTTGGTGGTTTTAGGCTTACAGTTTTTATCTTATATAATATCACAGAATAAGTTAGGAGAATATAATTTGCATTAATCCTTGCAAGACAGTGAATAATTTGAATACAAACGTCATATATTTTGCACAAGAGATAAAAATTAATCGACTGTAGTGACTGACACACACACACACTACATCCTTAACCACCGAATGGTCAAGACGTACCTGGCGCTCCTCTCGGAGCAGCCAGGTCAACTGTTACGTTGGCCCATACCAACTCCCTCCCCTGAACCCTCCTCCCCACCGGAATATCAACAAGTTCTCGTCAGAAGTTACAATTGTATTTAGGAAAGGAATGGAACCAGTGTTAAACAGAGGTAAACAGAGGTGAACAGTGGTGAACAGTGCTTAAGTCAGTGAGAACAACTCAAAAGTAACAGTCGTACCCAAGTTAACCTTCACACAGTGAGGTCCCAGGTACCCAGTGATAATGGCCCGTGAGTCCCAAAAACAACCACCGATGTGTTAATCCGTCTACGATAGGAAGGCCTGGGACCACACCTCACTCATATAACACCATCTGTGAGGGAATTACTACACCACGTCAGGTCCCTCAGAACACCATATGTGAGGGAATTACTACACCACGTCAAGTCCCTCATAACACCATCTGTGAGGGAATTACTACACCACGTCAGGCCCCTCATAACACCATCTGTGAGGGAATTCGTACACCACGTCAGGCCCCTCATAACACCATCTGTGAGGGAATTACTACACCACGTGAGGTCCCTCATAACACCATCTGTGAGGGAATTACTACACCACGTGAGGCCCCTCATAACACCATCTGTGAGGGAACTACTACGCCACGTGAGGTCCCTCCTAACACTATCTGGGAGAGAGTTACTACACTACGTGTTTGCTGTTCAACACCTACATTAATCTGTATGTTCACTGTATGTTCCTTCACCTTTCTCTAATGAAGGCTTTTGTTAAACCACCAATGTATGTAATAAGTCATTTATGTCCAATGTATATTTTCAGCCTTCGGGCTGCAGATCTTTTTCAATAAACCGTTAATTATTATCATTTTTATTATTATTACACACACACACACAGTAATACCCCGATTTACGAGGCTCTCGTTTACGCGGTACCCCGCCAGAACCGGAATTCCCACTTTACGCGGTGCATCTACTCATATACACGGAGAGAGGCTGGCGGTCCTGCCGCGCTGCCATTTTTGGATTCAAACCTCCCGCCACCTCCCGCCATGTTGGGCACGCTGCGCGAGTAGGTTACACAGTGGATGCCTCTGTTGCGTTATCGCTGACATCATATGACGTATTGGACTGTGATTGGGCCACACATCCTTACCTCCCTTCGCCGCTAGCTGTGATTGGTTTAATGTAATATTACGTGCCCTGCCGCGGGAGGGATGAACCTGCTTGACCTAGCCGCATCAGTTACACCCCTCCTGGTCACACTGTGTATACCGGTATCTATTGTTCCGTAAGAATGGCTGCCAACGGACTACCACCACCACCACAGAAAAACCTTGCATGACCTGGACCTAGCCGCCCTAAGCCAAAGAAGATACGACGTGCCTTAAGCTACGATGTGAAGTACAAGATTATTCAAGAGTTGGAGAAAGGAACAAGACAAGTTGATTTGGCGCGCCAGCATGGCGTGAACGAATCTACGATCCGGACGATCAAGAAGGTTGCAGCCAAGATAAAAGATCACAGGAACATCACAAAGTCTGCAGGTGCTTCAATGATCAAGTATTGCCAGAACAACGTGCTTCTCAAGACGGAGAATTTACTTGTGAGCTACAGTGAGTTCTGCTATAACGCGTGTTTTGATAACGCGAATTTGCTCTAACGCGATTTATGAATTAGGAACGATATTTGTATAACGCGAACGCTTGTTTGCTATAACGCGATTTTTGCTTACTATTTCTCCAATTTTGTGGTACAGTGGGGTATGCTATAACGAATCTAATTGGTTCTAGAACCTTGTTCGTTATAGCATTCATTCGTTATAGGATTAATCCGTTCCAGGCCCCCAAATACAACCACTTAACACTGAAAAATATAATATAAAATTGTAAAAATTGTAGAAAAGTGCATAAATATGCATCTAAACCCCTGAAATAAAGAATATCATTAATATTTGTAATAAAAAAACAATAAATTAGAAAAAAAAATAAAAAAATATTTAAATAATGTGAATATAGTAAAGAAGAATATCAACAAGAAGCGTTCTGGCGATAGAATTCCCGGTGATGATCGTAAAAGAAAGGATATAACACTTGAAGAGAAGCTCGATTTTATCAACCTCAAAATCACCCTTCTCCCCCATCAAGTAAAGTGTTACATTTACTGTATGATTTCATTATTAGATATGAATGTAACATTTATTTAGACTGTGCTATCCTTTGTGTTAGGCTAACTACTAAATTTTTTCGATTTCGAATAATCTGCACCTAACCCTATTTTCTCCATAAGCCCTTTTATTTCTATTACGCGATTTTCTATAACACGATATTTTACAAGAACACAATTATCGCGTTATAGCAGAACTACCTGTACTTGATTCGTCAGGCAAGACGGAACATGGCGGTGGACACGCGGTCAGTTAAGGAGTACACACATGAACTGTATGCAGCAGTGTCACGTGAGATGGGAATTGCAGAGCCCAAGCCCTTCAATGCTTCCTATGGGTGACTGCACAGGTTTAAGAAGAGGAACAAGATCACCAACATTAACATTGGTGGTGAAGAAGCGAGTGCTGACCGTGTTGCAGCTAGGGATTTTCTTCTGTTCTTACGTGAGATTATGGAGGAAGGACAGTACACTGACGACCAGGTGTTCAACATGGACGAATCCGGTCTGTTTTGGAAAAAGCTACCTTCCAAGACCTTCGTTGTCCAGTCTGCCAGCAAGTGTCGGGGCCGGAAGTTGCAGAAGGAGCGCAACACCGTCCTCTTTACCACTAATGCCTCCGGTTCCTGTAAACTCAGTTATCGGTGATCCACACAGCCCGCAAGCCACATGCCTACAAGAACATGGACATGACCAACCTAAATGTCCACTGGCTGACCGCACGTAAGGCGTGGATGTTCTCTGCTCTGTCCCTCTCCTGGTTTGATGACTGTTTCGTTCCCGACGTGAAGAAATTCTGTGAGCAACAGAATGTTACATTCAAGAATTTTTTGCTCCTTGACAACTCATCAGGACACTCGCCCGTTCTGTTGGATCGTCACCCCAACGTAAAAGTGGTCTTCCTTCCTCCCAACACTACGTCATTAATCCAGCCCATGGACCAAGAATTAATCTGCAATGTGAAAGCTTCATACTCTGCAAAGAAGTTTAAGTTCCTGAACGACTGTACCAACACCAAGGATGAGTTGTGTAACCAGGGTGACACCAATAGCAAGAGTGACGAGGATGAGGAACAACAGTTGGCAGAGCAAGAAGTTCTTGTCAAACACTTTTGGAGGAAATTTAACGTCAAGAAAGCTGTGGACTTCTTGGTGGAGGCATGGGATCAGCTGTCTGTAGCAACGGTTCGTCACGCACGGAGACATGTGTTGCAAGGTATCCCAGGTGGGAGGCAGAGTCAACCTGTGACTGGTGAGGTTCAGACTGTTGCAGTAGCAGTGGACCTTGCCACAGAAGCTGAGCAGTGTTACAGCTGCAGGCTTCTCCAAGACCACCAACGAAGACATCCTGGAGGTGATCAGGGATCCTGAGGTGACTGCCGACGAGATGTTAGAAGACGATTACGTCAGTGAAGAGGCAGGTGGTGCGTCATCCCGAGAAGAACACAAGTTAACGCATGGTAATGCTAGGGGTGCCATCGAGTGTGCAGAGAAAATGAAGCTCTCCTTTCCGACGACCCTAACGATAACCGGTATGAAGTTTTCACTACCCAGCTGTTGCAGACTATGGAGCCGTATATCAAGGTGTATCACGACAACATCAACACTAGCCGTCAACAAAGCATTACCGAGTGCTTCGCCCGCAACCCACCACAGCCAGCCCAAGCTAGTGATAGTGACAGAGACAGTGATGGTGACTTTGAGGGATTTGTTAGGGAGGCCCTGACAAATGTGGAGGACAGTGATGGTGACTCACCTGAGGGCCAGTAGTCTGCCCTCTGCTTTGGAACCAGCCGCCATTCCCGTACGCCGACCCATCTCTTCTACTAATGTAAGTGTTAAACCTAACCTTGATTTTTCC